TTAGATATGATGAGTCAACAAACATAAATTGTTTAGATATGATGAGTCAACAAACATAAATTGTTTAAATATGATGAGTCAGCATTGAGTCAATAATGTGTAAGCCCTAAACTTCAACTATAAATAGAGGTCTAGCCTAACCAAACCAATTCACTCTTCAACATTTCTCCTATACTATTCTCTCTTCTTAGTTCAAAAACTTAGTTTAATTTATTTTATATTCTTCTGATTACCAACCGGTTCTCTGCCCCAAATTACTCTTTTCTTCTAGAAGTTAGCGAAAATGGAGACCAGGTAATCCTAATCTCTAGGTGGTTGTAGATTTGTTGTGTATGAAATTTTATTGGGTGTATCCTAATCCTTAGGTAGTTATATGTTTGATATATCTAATCTTAATCCTTAGAAAATTTTAGGATGTTTTCATATAGTATTTAAATTAAATTATTTTAATCTCTAGAAATTAATTGGATTAATTATTGGATTTTGGCTTTACTCTAATAGATGTGAATATTTGAATTATGATATGATGATTGGATTTGGATTTTACTCTTTGAATTCTGATTTCGAAAATTATGATATAATGATTGGATTTGAGTTTTACTCTGTTATATGTTGAATATGAAAATTATGATATTCTTGGATAATGGATTTGAAAATTATGATGGATTTGAAAATTATGATGGATTCAAAAATTATGATATTCTTGGATAATGGATTTGAAAATTATGATGGATTTGGAAATTATGATATTCTTGAAAAATTGAATTTGGAAATTATACTATTGATTAAATTGATGTGGAAATCATGAAAACTATTTGACAATTATGAGAATCGTGACAAGATTGAATTAATTGTGTGTGTTTGTAATAAATTAATGGTGGGAGGATAGCTTTGGGATGGTACCTCCCAAGGTGATGAACACAACTTTTGGGCTTTATGCCTCCGATGTGAAACTGATGTGAAAAAGATTATATCCGTTCTTTCTAAAGTGGTGTCTGGCAGGGTTTCCTGGGATACTAGTAGCAACTTTGGGAAGAGGTGTGCACACTAGGAAGATGTGAATTGATTATGGCCAATGTGATTTGTTTGTGACTGGCAGGGTTTCCCGGGTCACAGGGTAGACTGGCAGGGTTTCCCGGGTCTACCATGGTTCTCTTCCCACTAAATATAATGAACTTAAACATTATTAATGAAATTTGTTATTTGATTTGATTATGAAGAATGTCATTGAGTTGTGAATATTATCATATTATGATTAATGTTGTGCTAAATATATTAGTTGATAATTACCAAATACATTAAATGGACTTAATAAAGATAAATATTATATAATGGAATTTTGATTATTATATTGATATTTGATTTGATTAATGTGGAATTGATCTGAACACTATTTGATATTTGATTTAATTTGTTATTAATTACATTAATTGTATTTTGATTGGGATTACCAGCTTTGTTGACTTTTGTGTTTGTTTGACTGCAATGATCCTGCGGCTGCGGGGGAGCAGATTTTCAGTGAAGCATGTTGCAAAGGATGGGGCTAGCTGTGGGCAGTGAGGATCACGACTCAGATATTTCTAGCTAGTTCCTAAGTTTAGAAATTTTATGAGATTTAAATAAATGCATAAGACATATTTGTTTTATTTAAACTTTAGTCTTTGGTTTTATTTGAATGTAATAGAGTTAGCCTTGCACTTGTCCCTATACAAGTGCGGCGGTAACATTCCCTAAATTAGATTTAGATTAGCTTCCGCAATATTTCTATTATTATAATTGTTAGAAATTTGGGGTGTTACAGTACTTGTCCACAATAATCTGCTTGTCCCATTAGCATATATGTGGCAAAATTTACATAATGAATATTAGGACAATCAATTACCAGGAATATTTTCTCAAGTTCTTTCGGTCATTCAACAGCTGCTTTAAGGTTATAATCTCCACAAAAAGTGAAATGTTTATGTTTATGGAATTCAAGATTAGGTCCTCCCCGAGCATTTGCAGATCTAGGTTCATTTTCACTTTCAAAGTTATAGGTGCGGTTTCTAGTTGCACGGTCCTCCCTTAGCTCCTGAATAATATGCCGATTTGTTATAGTCTGTTCTTTGAGAGCTTCAACCATCTGAGTAAATGCATCATTTTTTGGGTTAACTTCTAGTTCAAAAGTGAAAGATGTTTGCCTTGCATCTGCTATAGATCTACATATTATTTCATGGTAGTAACTTGATCAAACTCATTACTAAATAATTCAAAATATGCATGATCTATAATAAAATACCAAGCAACAATTATACATATGCGTAGTTTAAGTCTTTTATTCACATGAACCGTTACTTTGATATCATAAAATATAACACCCTCTATAAGTAACTAGCATAGAGGATATCACATTAATTCTTAAATAGAAGTATAAAATTTTTTAAAAGAATAAAGGGATGAGAGGAAAAAAAACAACAGTCATAATCATAGCTTAAAGAATAAAGGAAGGCAAATGACAGAACACCCTTAAAGATAATTATACATTAAAGGTAAAGTTAAGTACATTTCTTTCAGTTGTCTATTAGTGGTAGTGGCATGCATGCCATCTAGTTAGTCTGCCTTAATTCCTACTCTTATTTATTTGTTACAATAAGTAGGAACATAATCTAAGCCCTGTTATATTTAGTCATCCAGATTGAAAGGAAAAGTTTCCACCCTATCAGAGTAGAAAACAATGGCTGCACCCAATGTATCTACTATCACATGGAACTTTGTCCTGTCTTCATGGTTCGTTATCAGCTTACTCCATCCTTCCCCGATCTTACACAGGCTAGCTAAGCATGTTTATTTTCTGGAAATGTTAGCATAAATATACACAAACGTGAGATAAACTTAGTAATATTGAGTTTTCAAACTATAACTGGTCCAGGCACTATAACGAAAAGATCATTTTCTCTCAACATGTTTATGGTAAAAATCTTTGTTTCAATAATGACTATAATAATAATAAGTATAAGAAAAAACATGCAATATTTAATTGAAACAACTAAATGTCCAGCCTCTGAGGGTCTGTCTGTGTATGTGAAAAGTTATTAAGTGGTCGAGTTCATAGCCACAGTAAGGTATCCCTTACAATATTATTGTCTGATCCCAAACTTTCTTGGGTCAGTTCACATCAGAAGTTTCAGTTAAAAATTTGCATATTCTTTAAATATTCATTTGGTATCAAAGGAATATAAATACAATTAATAAATCAATAATTTCATAGTCTTGATCCAATACCATTTTCATAATCAATATGAGTAGATCCGCCAAATCCATAAAACCAAAGTGTAGAAAAATCAATAAGAAAATGATTTGTCATGGTGATAATGCATCCAAATTTTTAGAAAAAAAGTGTTTCTCAAAACTAAAAGAGATAGAAGTTTAAATATAGAAATAGATTAAAAAAATTAAAACTATAAGAATGGAGTTCACTTCCAATATTATCTTTCCCTTGCTTTTTCCCTCTGTCTCTCTTTCTTTCTTTCTTTCTCCCTCTCTGTTTCTTTTTCTCTGTCATAAGGTTCCTTCCCCTTTAAGGGATTTTTTATAGATTGGTTTGTGTTTTTTTTTAATATATAATATAATAATATTATTTTATTAAAATAATATTTTTTTTTACTTGGAGTGGTGATCCCACTTTATCCCCCTCCATGTCCACACATTTTTCATAGTTATATTATTATTTTCTTATTTTTTATAAAAAAAAAATTATAATGTTACAACAAATCTGTGGGGGGATCAACATTTAAGATACATTGGACGAATCTAAATCCAAGAACCTTCAAGTAGTACATTTATATGACTTAGACATGAATATAAGGGTAGTTGATCAAAATTGAATAAATAAGCTCAAAGTAAACATGTTTTTCAAATCTTATCATCCGTAGCTTTTATATTCTTAAATTTTTTTTGAAAATCTCAAAGAAAATATTATTGACAAGCTTTAGAACTTTGAAATATTTTTTTCCAAGTCAAAAACATACGTTTAAGAATTGGAATCAAAAGCATGCTATTTGGGTAATTGGCTTCTACTAAGAAGGGTTTGGAATCTATCCTTCCTTATAAGGTGAATGGATTCAAATTCTTCACGAAAAGAATTTGAATCTCTCGAAAAAAAGGATTTGAATTATTACTAGCCAGTAAGTTTTCTAACGGTTAGTAACAACTATATTTTGGTTAAAACTTAGAATCCTTCCATGTTTTCCTCCATCTTTTGTAAGAAGAGTTGAGACAAAAAACTTGGATGTTACAAAAAAAAATCTTAGCAATGCAAATGAATCATATAAACTGAAAATAAAATAAAATAGACCAACGGTTTAATCCACTTGACCTACGGGCTAACCCATTTTAACTTGCATCAATACATAATATGTTGGGTTGGGTTGGATTGGCATGTTGAAATATTCAACTCAACCCATCAAAATAAAAAAGTGGATTAAATGGACTCACTCAATGAGTCAAATCTATTTTGCCATCCCTACCTATATTCAAATTTGAATTATAAAGACTAGTTGCTTTCGTATTAATGCTATATATATATATATATATATATATATATATATATATATATATATGAATGGAAATATGAGATAAAATTGATAAGATTTTTTTTTAAATTTTTAATTTTTTTATTATTTAAACAAATTGACCCACCAAATAGTAATAAAACAAGGCAGGTTAATATTTTCAATCCATTTAAAAAAGACGAGCCAACATACCCACCTTAATTTTTAGCAAGTCGGGATGGACCAACTTATTTTGTCACCTCTATGATACGGGATAAAAAATCCCAACCATTAACTATGTCTCATATTTATAGTTCCTAACCCACTGATACACTCAAGTAAACGCTGTTAATTAGGCAGAACCATCTATATTCCTGAAAAAAACAGATATATAACAACTTATTTTACTTTTTCTTTTTTGACAAATAAAACAAAACATGAAATATCTGAAACCCTGAACCAAATGCTCCAAATTCTAACGAGGAAATAAGGTGTACAGGTATTTCAAGGCAAAAAAAGACTAGGATTATATCTCCATGATAAAACCACAATACCATAATAAAGTTATTTAAGATATAACATGACTAGGTGGAAAACTCAAATGAACCAAAAAGCAAAAAGCACAGAAAATGCTGGAAGGCGCAGAATTTCCTCTATTTTCCCAATCTTCAGGTTCTCTAGAACTTTTAAATCAAGAGAAAATCATATGGTTTTGCAGTTTCTGCTCATGAACGCTACCAAGCTGAGCGCAAGTTTTACCATCACCTGTCAGAATGCTTCAAATATATCACCGCCAATTATGTAAGTATAAACACAGCTTCTTCCCAGTCGTTTGGTTATTGATGTGATGCCAATTTCCCACTATTTGCAGTAAAAGCCTCATAATATTATTGCACAACAGCATGCTGATTTTTCTAACGAAATGCATCCTTAGTTAACTCAGACAATAGAGTAACATGCATCTGATACATTTCATCCACTTGGCACAAACAGCAGGACAAAGGTGAACATGATTATGTTGATAAGACGATCCTAGTCTGCATCACCAAGCCCATCACTCCCGTCACCCCTCTTGGATATGGGAGTAAAATTTGGATTTGATTTCTTTTTCTGAGAAGCAATTTCAGCATTTTTTCGTAAAACGGCTCCAGGTGATGGATATGGTCGTTGTTGAAAGAGAGGACCCTGAAATTGATCAAGAAAGAGAATTTTTAAGTCATGTTGAGCCCTTGACGAAGGTCGGAAAATGAAACCAAAGCTATTGGTTATGACAGGCATATTTCAATATGTATTTCCTCTGTTTCTGCATAACAGGCATCATTGCTAGCCAATGGCGCCTGATGCCAGCAACACTAGTCACTAGAGGCTAACTAAATGGAACTCAATGTCCACCAATTCTACCCATAATTCACAGTAGTTTGGCCAACTTCGTGATTATTTACACACCAACCCATTTGTGGACATCTTCAGTTAATTACAAAATTCTCTTCAGAGTGTTAAGGCATCCATGGATACCAGATTGAAGGAACTCTTTTGGTTAAAAGCGCATTAAAAAAATATAAAGATCAAATACACCAATAAGAAAAGCAACTAAGGAGAAGATAGGAACCAATAACTTCTGAAATGAGAGAAAAAATAAAAAGAAGAAAAGAAAGTACTTACTGTTGCTGTTGTGTCAGCTGCTCGTGGCTGCACACCTTTCAGACCCACGACCCTGAAATGAAACATAAATTCATTTTTACTGATCAGGTTTTTCTATTATAAACCCAAGTTTATTACTATAAGCAATTCATTATCATACTCGGTTTTTGAATGGATTCAATTGATCAGTTCAAATACACACACATACCAGCCACCACGAGGAGCATCCGAATAGGAGCTGGGGTCCATGGGATCCAACTCATCGTCCTCTGCATTTGGGCGTTTCTTGCCCACTTTTTTACTTCTATTATCGCATGGAGGTTTCCAACTGGACCTGGAGAGACAAAACGGGATCAATATGTCCTTTATGGCTTTTGGCAAATGAAGGAAAAATCTCATAACTCAAGATCTCTTTGCCAATAAATCTTACATAAAATCCAAAGCTAAAGCTAAAGCATAAAAGATCTTAATTTTCACCATTTCTGGCGTGCCAATTGATTCAACCAATAATTCAGTTTTACAGAGATGTACTGTAATTGCAGTCCAATTTTATGGCATAGAAAAAAAAAATGCTAGACACCGCGTCCCAATAATGTTCGTTTTCTTTTTGGAAGTTCAATTGACATCTCATCTCTTTAATTTTCGTCAATCGTTCTCCACAGAATGCACCTTTCCCTATTGAACTCTACACAGTAATTTCTCAGTATCAAAGAGAACCTAACAGAAAAGTATACTTGCAATACAAGATTTTAATCACAAGCAGATAATAGAATTTTCATGATAGTACAATGTACAAAAAGAAATGTTCTAATGATGGATAGTTACAGTTGAAATTTAATTGTTATAGAGATACTTGAATATAAAATAATATGTTGTGTATTGATCTAATTCAGAGAGTTACAATATATAGAGACTCTAATGGGCTTATATGAAAGGCCCAGACCTAATACAATCAGAATAATTACAAACTCTAATCATATCTAATCAGACTAATCATATCTAATATATTCTAACACTCCCCCTCAAGCTGGTGCGTATATATTTTGAGCACCAAGCTTGTTACAAATATATTGAACCCGAGGACCTCTAAGAGCTTTAGTGAAGACATCCGCTAGTTGATCAAAGGAGTTGACGAAAGCAGTCTTGATTTCCCCTGATTGAATCTTTTCTCGAATGAAGTGACAATCAATCTCTATATGTTTGGTCCTCTCATGAAAGACAGGATTAGAGGATATATGTAGCGCAGCTTGATTATCACAAATGAGTGTCATGGGTTGTTTCTGTTCACAAAGATGAAGCTCCTGAATCAACTGCTTTAACCAGATTAACTCACAGGTAGTATTTGCCATTGCACGATACTCAGCTTCTGCACTAGACCGAGCAACTACAGGTTGTTTCTTGCTCTTCCATGAAATTAAGTTTCCTCCAAAGAAGACACAATAGCCGGAAGTACCTGCCCAATCAGCATCTAAATAACCACAAATTTCTGTATTTCCCTGATCTGAATACAACAAACATTTTCTTGGTGCTCCTTTGATGTATCGGAGGATCCTCACAGCAGCATCCCAATGTGAATCACAAGGGGAATCAAGGAACTGACTAGCCGTACTAACAGCGAAAGAAATATCTGGCCTAGTCACAATAAGATAATTGAGCTTCCCAATTAGCCTCCGATAACGTCCAGGATCAGATAACGGCTCCCCCTGTCCGGGCAATAACTTGACAATAGGATCCATGGGTGTATCAACTGGTTTACTCCCCAACATACCAGTTTCTTCGAGAATATCCAAGGCATACTTCCTTTGACAAATAGAAATGCCCTGTCTAGATTGCGCCACCTCAATTCCCAAGAAGCAATGCAGCTTCCCAAGGTCCTTTGTTTGAAATGCACTGAATAAATGTTGTTTTAATTGACGAATTCTGTCTTGATCACTTCCGGTGAGAATGATGTCGTCAACATAGACTAACAAATAGATGCACTTGTCAGGAGATATAATCCTATAAAATACAGAATGATCAACTTTACTGCAGATTAAGTCAAATGCCTGAACGGCAGAACTGAAGCGACTGAACCATGCTCGAGGAGATTGCTTGAGACCATATAAGGATTTTCAAAGACGACACACTTTTCCAGACTCCCCCTGAGCAACAAAACCAGGTGGTTAATCCATGTAAACTTCCTCTTGCAAATCACCATGAAGAAAGGCATTTTTTATGTCAAGTTGAAGGAGTGGCCAGTGACAAACAGCAGCAAGGGCAAGAAATAGGCGGACTGACGCCATCTTAGCGACCGGAGAGAATGTATCGCCATAATCAAGGCCAAAGATTTGAGTAAAACCCTTGGCAACTAGGCGTGCCTTGAGTCGATCAACATGGCCATCAGGTCCAACTTTTACAGTAAACACCTAGCGACAACCAACTATAGACTTCTCTGGAGGAGCAGAAACAAGGTCCCAAGTGCCATTGGAATGAAGTGCAGTCATCTCATCAAGCATCGCTTGGCGCCACCCTGGATGGGAAAGTGTTTCACCTGTGGTTTTAAGAATAGAAATAGAAGAAAGACTAGAAACAAAGGTGAAATGAGGTGAAGAAAGACGGTCATAGCTCAAAAAGGTATAAAGAGGATAAGGGTTACGAGTAGTACGTGTACCTTTTCTTTGAGCAATAGGAAGAGCCTCTGGTGAAGGATCCGGAAGGGAAGAATCAACTGCAGGGGACAATGAGTCAGCAGGAGTCGAGTCGACAGGAGGCACAGTTTTACGACGCTGATAAGTGAGAAGTGGACGGTCTGCAGGAATTGAAGCAATAGGTTGCTTATCTGGAATAGAAGTACCTGCAGCTGGCAAAGACAAGTCAAGAAAAGGGCCAGGAAAAACATGATCAACCTGTGACAACTGAGATGGGATAGAATGAAAGGGTTGTTGATCAAGAAAAGTGACATCAGGGGAAACTAAGTAACGCTTAAGATCTGGAGAATAACAATGATAACCCTTTTGAAGACGAGAATAACCAAGAAAAATACATTTAAAAGCTTTGGATGTTAATTTGTCCTTACCAGGGGTGAGATCATGAACAAAACAAGTACAACCAAAGACATGTGGGGATAGAGGATAGAGAGGAACATCTGGAAGCAATAAGTGATAAGGAATGTCATTATCAAGCACAGATGAAGGCATACGGTTGATGAGAAAAGAAAAGGCAAGGACTGCATCGGCCCAGAAGTGAAGAGGAACATGCATGTGAATAAGAAGAGTCCGTGCAGTCTCAATGAGGTGTCTATTCTTACGTTCAGCTACTCCATTTTGTTGTGGAGTGTGAGGACATGTAGTTTGGTGTAAAGTACCCTGTTTGGCTAAGAAATTAGAAAAGTCCACAGAAACATATTCCTTAGCATTATCACTACGTAAAATACGAATAGAGGCACCAAATTGAGTATGAATTTCAGCAGAAATTTTTTGATAAATAGAAAACAACTCAGAACGGTTTTTCATTAAATAGATCCAGGTACAACGAGAAAAATCATCAATAAAAGTAACGAAATACCGAAAACATAAAACAGACACACTATGACTAGGACCCCAAATATCTGAATGAATAATTGAAAAAGGAGCATCAGCTCGTTTATTGACTCGATTAGCGAAGGAGGAGCATATGTGCTTTCCTTGCTGACATGACTGACAATCTAAAAGTCTGAAGACCGGACAAAAGAGGAACCATCTTCTGTAACTTGGAAAGACTAGGATGCCCGAGGCGACTGTGGATGAGTTGTGGAGATTCTGTGAGAGAACAAGCAACGGAAGGACTCGACACAACCAGGTAGAACAGACCCCGTGACTCACGGCCCACTCCAATCGTCTTCCCCGTACCCGGATCCTGCACAGAAACAGAATGATTTGAGAAAGTGACAATACAGTTAAGAGAGTTGATCAATTTACTAACAAATATTAAATTGTAAGGGATGTTAGGAATGTAATAGAGAGATGTTAAGGTCAATGAGGAGGTTGGACAGATTTGTCCAATTCCATGAATAGGAGCCTTAGTGCCATCAGCAAGGGTAAAAAAGGGTAAGTTATCAGAATATGTAAGGGATGAAAAGAGTTCCTTATTACCACAGAGGTGATAAGTAGCACCTGAGTCAAATATCCAAGGGCCAAGTGATGCAGAATGAGAAACGCAAGCAACGGGATTACCAGTTTCTGAAGCAGAGGCCTGAGACTGAGGAGAGACCTTTCTGAGAAGAGTCTGGAATGCTGCATAGTCTTCAGAGGAGAGAGAGACTGTATCATTTGAAGCAGAATCCGATTGAGCTATATTAGCAGCATAAGAAGGTCGCAGGTGAGGGTACTTTATGTAGCAACGTTCCTCATAATGACCAAGTTGCTGACAGTAATTACAACAAGGTCACTGACCACGTCCGACTAGGCCTCCTGGGCCACGTCCTCCTGGGGCTCCTGGACCATGTCCTCTTGGGGCTCCTGAACCACGTCCTCCCGGGCCTCTACCACGACCACGTCCACCTCCAATGTTCCCGCGAAAGTCAGTACGGGAAACTAGAGTAGTAGAATCAACAGTAGAAGATGATGCAGGAGCAAATTTCTTATTCAGATTCAGAAGACGCCGATACGTCATTGAAAGATCAGGCTCCCCACTAGTCAAGATAGTATCCCGGAGATTATCATATTCTTCAGGGAGGCCAGACAGTGTGGCAACCATAAAGAGACGTTCCACCTGTTTCCGATATGCAGTAGCATCAGTAGTGTAAGGCAACATATCCAAATATGCCTGCATCAAAGATCGACTCTTGCCAACATATGTCTCCATCTGAATGCCGGATGATTTGCTCAGTTCCATAAACTGAGAGATGATGAAATAGAGCTGCTGAACATCATTAGTGTAGAGGTCTTTTGCTTCCTGCCACACTTTAGTACAAGTTTGAAACGAATAGAAGATGTCCAAGACAACTGGATCAATAGATTGCCAGAGGATGCTCAGAAGCTGGTTGTCGATCTTTTCCCAATCAGACTTTTCCTCCTTAGGGACATTAGTAGACTTAGTCGTGAGGTGGCTCCCATGTCCTTGTCCAAAGAACCAACCTCGAACAGAGGTGACCCAGTTCTTGTAATTAACAGAACCCTTCAATTTTGAAGAGGTAATGGACCCAACATTGGTAGAGATGATATTGGGAGAATTTTTGACAGGAAGAGGTGAAGAATTGACCTCCGAATGAACAGAACCATCTGCTGCCATAATAAGAAATCAGAAAGATATAAACCGAGTAAATAGGAACGAACCTGATCACCGATCAAGAAGCGGTGCGCGCAAAAAGTCAGACCCACACCAAAACAACCAGAGATCCAGAAAGAGCAGGAGAAGGCGAGCTTCTCTGTCCAAGACCGGCCGGAAAAGGGCTCACGCGCCGGCAGAAGGTGGCTTGTGAGGCCCACGCGCAGAGGAGCTTGGAGGCGCGTGAGAGCCCGTGGGAGGTGCGTTGCTGATCGGACCTCCACAGACCTGGTTGCCGGGAAAAGACGGTCCTGATCGCGTGAAGTTTGGTCGGAAAAGTCGCCGGAAAAAGTCTCTGGTGGCCTGAACAGTGATTCTGGTGGCGGGCGGTGGTTCCGATGGCCGTCGGAGGGGCTGACGCGTTTGGAAAAATTACTCAGAGGCTGTTTACAGCCCTAGATGGCTTACCGGAAGGACGCACGGCAAGAAAGAGGACTCCTAAGCAGTAGGCTTAGGTTTTAAAGCAAAAACAAGGTTTCTAAGCGGAAGCGAGGGTCCCCAGAACGAAAGAGCTCTGGTACCAACTTGAATATAAAACAATATGTTGTGTATTGATCTAATTCAGAGAGTTACAATATATAGAGACTCTAATAGGCTTATATGAAAGGCCCAGACCTAATACAATCAGAATAATTACAGACTCTAATCATATCTAATCAGACTAATCATATCTAATCATATCTAATATATTCTAACAGAGATCATGCCCCGAGGATAGCATCAATAAAATTAGTTAGAAAACAGGTAATGAACAGTGATATTATTTTGGTATCAATGTAACAGTACTGCACGTAGAAGGAAAATTACCTCTGTTTGCTAGCCTTTTTATCAGAGCTCTCATGGGGATGTGCAGCACTGTTTTCCTGATTATTCAAACTTGAGGACAAATACTGACATTGTGGAAGATTCAGAACTCTGCATTTGTTCATTTTTGGAAACAGATAAAAACCAAAAGAAATATTGGAGATAAACATTTGTAGCTAATGGTGAGAAAACAAAAATATTAGTGTGCAGGTGATATACTTAGCCAAATTTATGGAGAGAAAAAATCTTTTAACATTAATTTTTGTGTCAATGCATTTTCAATAAAAACTAAAAATGATGTCCAAATTAAGTCCTAAGTAAGCAAGAGTCACCGATCTCTACCTTGTGCAGTGATTGCAGTAACCCCATGTTTGCACAAGGCCTAGACCCCAACCGCCACAGCCCATGCACCTCTGCAAACTAGATGATTGATCATCCCCACCAACAGCCGACAACTCTGAGTAATCTGACACAACTTCCTGAGCTGAATTAGGACGCTCCCATTGTGATACATGACTTCTTGTATTATAGTAATACTTACGACCTTTGACATAAAAAAAGAGTTAATAAGATACCTTACAAAGTTCATAAATTAGGGCAAAAAGGGAAAAGAGAATTTGACTTCATTATGCTTCTAATAAAATATCCAGGAATGGTAAATGAGACAATTGCAATCAAGTCATGGGTAAACTGACCCAACAAACACACTACTTCTCTGAGTACAGAGTGGAATATATACTACACTGATGGCAAATAATATATGTGACAGTGAAAAATTGCCAAGTTTTTGCAAAGTGAATTTGCATGAGGGAACAGGTAGATTTACTATTTGCATAACACAAACATGCAAAAGGGCCAAATGAATAAAATGTCAAACATCAGAACATATAAGATTAGTCTGTCATTTTTATTTATAAATTTAAGTAGTTAATTTTAGAATATGTAGATGATATCGTGTAATATTAAGATTAATCTTAATATAGTTTAGAGTATCCTAGAGGATCACTTAGGGTTAGTTTCCCTATTTCCTTATATATCATTATTTGCTTCCTTATTTTAGCAGTCCCTCATTTCGCATATATAGGGTTTAGTGCTTTGTCTTTTGAATCACTTAATCACTTGACAGCACATCAATATAAAATATTATTAAGTCCTCTTTTTTCTCCATCTATACCCAAATTCCTATTATTTCAATATGGTATCAGAGCAGTACCGTCTTCCGTCACCTGTCCTGTCATTTTTCCATTGTCAAGTTCCTAAAATACGGAGCTCTACATCAACTAATTTTCCGTCAACCTTTTCTCAGCAGTCTATTGTCTTCCGCCTCATCTTAGGCCACCTCCGCTGTCATTAGCCTCCATCAAACGTCACCAACCCAGGGGTCTAGCATGCTTATAGTCTTTCCTCGTTTGATTTGCATCGCATTGAGAGGGAGAAATTTGCAAGTTTCAATCTGGCACGTCGGATTTTGTTAGATGCAATTTAGCCCTAGCCACCTCTATCATCTCCCTAGCGTGAAGCTTTGTTGCTTCTTTAGTATGTTAGCTTTGTTTCACAATTGTCCTCCTCATTCACTTGGTGAGCTATTACTATAATACAAGAAGCCATGCATCATAGTTGTCGAATGTCATGTTGCGTGGTGAAGCTGTCTAGGAAAAAGCAATAAAAAACACACCAAGTGAAAAGAATAAATTGGGGTTTGTCACCAGCTCCATATTAAAGCATTGTAAGAGCCAATTTGGTTTTCTAGTTCGCAAATAGGGCAATTGTTACCTCTACTCTCCAACTTGTGGGAGAGTGCTAAAATATTTAGATGTTAACGGATATCAAAAGCATATTACTTAGCTTAGCTTACTCTTATCTGCTAATTTATATTGTTTTTGTTGCACTAGATATATTCTTTGTGGCCATTATGTAGACGGTTGGCTTAGTTGTAACTGACTCGATGATGAGTCATCAATTCTTTTATAAATAGAGAAACTACTGAATCAGATCTTCATCTTTGACGATAATACAAGTTCAGTTCACATTACCCTCTCTTACTCTCTTTTCTTCTCTCTCCCTTTCTTTCATTTTGCATCACATTCTTCTTGGTATCAGAGCTCTCTCTTGAGGGCCTAATACAAATCATCTACCATTTCTTCCGCATCGTTGCAAGTCAATCGTGACACAACAGTGGAGAATAAAACTCCATTGCATTTCAATTACCATATCTCTGTCAAACTCATGGAGAACAATTACTTGTTATAGAACAAGATTGCCTAACCTGTGATAACATCGCATCAATTGCATTCATTCCTAGTGAACCCTAAGATCCCTTTTCAGTTTAAATCTAAGCAAGATCGGATTGCTGAGAATGTTGACCCAACCTATTAAATGGCTTTGACAAGACCAAATGCTTCTGTCCTGGTTGCTCTCGATGATTTCAAAATAGATTGTGAAAGAGAAACTTAGCGTTCGTCACGCCTGGGAAAAAGCACCAAATTTGTTTCATGGAATGAAGCGCTCAAAGGCACATCAGCTCAGAACTGAGCTTCGAACCATCAAAAAAGGTGGCAGATCTGTGGCTTAATACCAAAGGCACATAAAATCTCGTTGCGATGAACTTAGAGTTATCAAAAATCCAATTCCTATTGACAAGCAAATAGAGCTGATTCTGGATAGGTTACCAGCTAAGTTCAATGTGTTTGTTGCTTCAATTCATGCACGTGAAAATCCCTATGCCATTGATGATTCACGAGTGGAATTGATGGCGCATCAACTCTTGCTAGCCTAGCAGAATGAGTCGCTTTGCCCAAAAGGTTGAGTCTTGAAACTTAGAATAACACCTTTGGTAACAATGCTCCGTTGGCCCCTGTTTTGCTGAACCGGGAACAAAACAGCCTAACGAAGTCTTTCTATAGTGGAAATGGCAATTCAAATCAAATTGAAAAAGGAAGAGCAAGATCCTTTGGACACAGTAATCAAGGTATGGGGCATGGTGGAGGGAGAAACCTCCAATTTGTTACAAATTTGAACACAGGGTCCAAAATTGTTGATATAGGCATGACGAAAACTCCGTCCTTGTGCTTCCACCACCTGAAGTTCCTCAATACTTCACTCCAGCACCTCAGAGCCTCACACTACGAGACCATTGAACAAAAATCAAGCCATGCTTACTGCTTCTACTGCATAGTGCCCTGTTCCTTCTCATTCACAGCTAATATCGCAATGCAATAGTGATTGGTACCCAAACTTTGGTGCCTCACATCATGTCAAGACTGATCCTCAAAATCTGCTGCAAAGTACACAGCTTTCAAATTCTGATAAGATCTTCGTGTGAAATGGTCAAGGTCTGAATAATCGAGCTACTAGTTCTTGTTATTTTTCCACGTCACTTAAACCACACACTAACATTTATCTTCACAATTTACTCCTTGTTCCTTCTATTACAAAGAACTTAGTGTCATTCAGCCAATTTGCCAGAGACAATAATGTTTATTTCAAATTTCACCCATTCCCTTGTTGCATGAAATCACAAGACTCTCATGACATGCTCCCGAAGTTGGAGCGAATCTTGGGGTCTAATGGCTTATATCATTTGAGTGGAGTAAAGCTCTCTAACACGCCAAGTCAAAAAACCTACCTAGCTCTACTCTTTGTAGTTTCGTTTGTAGTGCAGTGTATGCTTGTAATTCATCTTTGACAAATCTGTTGTTGTAAGTTCACCATGTACAAATAGTTCAGAATCTAAGACTGAAAAATCTGTAGTTTAGAATCATATCTACTCTCCTACGGCATTGTCACCTAGGTCATCCTCGTAGTGGTGCTTGTAAAGTTGTACTTAACTCTTGTTAAATTCTCATTCAAAATAAAATTTATCTTAACTTTATTTTCCTGTTGTTGGGGAAAGGCCCATAGACTGCCCTTTTCTCCATCTACTAAAAAGTATGATAAACCATCTGATCTCATATAATAAAGGGACCAGCCCCATTTAAATCCACTATAGGGTTTATTTACTACATTTCCTTTGTTGATGCTTTGATACAAACGCAATTAGTAAGTGGTTCAAGAAGGTGTACACAAGAAAGAGGCGCAGGGGAATACTCTCACCTAGCACTAACGATGACTCAGCAGTTGATTAGACGTAGGCACACAGCTTGCTTGGCCACTCAACATGCACTCACACGGTTACAAAAGATTGGGGCTGAGAGTGGATGAAATTTAGTGGAGGTGGGTGATGGTCACCATGTCTCTTGTCAAGGCATGTGTAGACGGGTGTCTATCGAGTTATAGGGGCACATGATTACCCAGGACTTACATCTGTTTGACCTGGGTGGTTTTGAGGTTATTCTCAATTTAGATTGGTTGACTGCGTTAGGGGAAATCAGAGCCAACTTTAAGGAGTTAACTCTCAAGTTTGATTTTCGAGGAGAGGAGATTATTCTCAGGGGAGAACCTTCCCTTTCGAGGTCCTTGGCTTCACTGAAATCCATTGTGAAGGCTTTGCAGAATGAAGGCACTAGATACTTGGTTGAACAAAAGAATGATGCGGTGAAGGGTAATGGAACGTTTTGGAAGGAGCTGGAGGAGTTGTTGCTCGAGTTCCAGGATCTGTTCAGAGAACCCAAAGGATTGTCTCCAACCAGAAAACAAGATCATGCAATTATCCTGAAACCAGGTAGCCAAATCCCCAATTTTCGTCCGTATAGGTATCCCTATTATCAGAAATCTAAAATAGAAAAACTTATATCAGTATTGTTGAGTAAAGGTTGGATTAGGCAGAGAACTAGCCTCTATGCCAATCCTGTAATTTTGGTTAAAAAAAAAAGATGGAAGTTGGCGTGTTTGTGTAGATTATAGGGCCTTGAATTAATGTATTGTGATTGATGAGCTCCTTGATGAATTAGGAGGGTCAAGAATTTTTTCCAAATAGATTTAAAATCAGGGTTTAATCAAATCCGTATGGTTGAGGAAGATATCCCTAAAACAGGGTTTAGAACCCATAAAGGGCATTATGAGTACTTAGTGATGCCTTTTGGCCTCACTAATGCCACCTCTACCTTTCAGGCCCTCGTGAATGAGGTGCTTAGACCCTTCCTTCGAAAGTTTGTGTTAGTGCTCTTTGATGATATTTTGATATTTAGAGGAAGCAAACAAGACCACACTGATCAACTCCGAAAGGTATTCGAGGCACTTAGAAGTAACCAACTGCTGTTGAACAGAAAAAAAATGTTTTGGGCAGCTCCAAATAGAATACTTGGGGCATATTATTTCAGCAGATGGAGTTATGGCAGACCCAAAAAAAAATTGAGGCCATGATGGAGTGGCTTGTTCTCGAGAACATAAAAGGGCTTAGAGGCTTTTTGGGGCTCACAGGCTATTATAGGAAGTTTGTAAAAAATTACGGGAAGGTGGCAAAACCTTTCACAGAGCTACTAAAAAAGGACAGTTTCAAGTGGGATGCTGCAGCTCAAGAAGCTTTTGATTTGTTGAAAAAATTGATATTCTCTGCCCCAGTTTTAGCATTACCTGATTTTACCAAGGAGTTTATAGTTGTAACTG